TGTGGGAGCGGTTGGCACAACAGTTTGTGGTTCCGGCTCTCAAGCTTGAGGTAGTTCAAACTTCTTGCTTTACATTACTTGTGTCTTTGGACAATAACATTTTACCCAAGTTTGTCTCTCTCACCTAGCGTTGAAATATGGAGGAGAGCCGTGTAACCCAATCGGCTAAACAATGGTAGCCACATAGTATTCTATCATTATTGTTTGTGGGCCTGCTGTCGTCAAATCTATATATTTGTAGAATTTCCTGCTTTTTATATACTGTAGTAACATGGTATTAAATCTTTAGTACTCATCAGTTAAGATGAATAATTTTTTGATCAACTTGTCTGCAAACTATCAAAAACCTGCACAATGTGTATTGTTAAAGTGTCCTTCATGGTACAAAACTTGGATGTGCTGGTTTTTAGGAAAGAGCTGTTCCTTTGTGTGGTTTTAGTACTGTACCATGATCAGCCCTTGTGTGTTATCACCTCAATTGATTTCACAGTATAATACTATACTATGATAGCCTTTGTGGCAATTGACTGCTGTGTATTAAACTGTGCATTGAGGTTTTGTTTGTTTTTTTCATGGGTGCATTCATGTATTTTACTCTACATTCCATAACATGTAATATAATCATATGTATTTTTAAAATTTTTCTTTTGCTATTTTAACAATCAATTATTTGATATTGGCTTTTCGGCGGATCATAATTTACTTTTCAAATCATCCATTGGAACAATCAAAGTGCCTCATGATACAATCAACATTAAAGCTAAATATTGCAAAAAAAAATGTCTGTCTCGTGCGCTGCTTTACCTTACCCCAGATGATCATTAGAGCGAGCCAATGTGGATGAAGTGCCTTGCCCATCGACACAAACACAATAAATCTGAATAGGTACCAACAGGAGACGCACTGGGCCATATGCATAAGTGTGTGTCGATCGAGACATCCCCCACCCCCCACAAGTAAGTTTGTAAGGCTGAATAGTAATCACTGTGCCAACCGCTCTCCATTTATATAAGGGCTACGTAATTCTAGTGTTCCTTTTATGCCATCTTCATAAATCGGTCTCCTCAACAAAAGAGGATTCAGCAGGGTGGAGGAGGGGTTAGCTAACATTGACTTCCTAGAAATCTCCAGCTATCTAGGTGCCAAATTACTCTATGTACCTCAGCCATGGTGAGACTGAGTTAATCTGGACCCTCAGTCTGTAAAGCTAGGCGAATATATTCGCGCGAAACGAAAGTTTCGGTTCATTCGCATGTGCATTCACATTTCTATCGGAGTGAGCAAAGCGAAAAAATGCGCAACCAATCAGAGCTCAGGAAGTGAACCAACGCTCTAAAACATGGTTGCCGTGCAGCGTGTAAGAACTCTGTCCTGGCATACCTTCATAGTCCTGGTAACCAGTAGGTATTCTTGGGTTAAGAGCTATTGAGGTACTGTATAATCGTGGAGGTATAAAAAAAATATGCATACCTCCATGCTACAGTATAATATATCACATCCCCTATGAAGCTGAGAGTATCCATTTGATACTATGATCAGTGTTAATAATGAAATGTGCGTCGAAGGCTTGACATTGCATATGGTGATCGAATATAATAATTCAATGCATTAATGTATTTTGCTCAAGAAAAGTCTAATAACATTATTAAAAACATCCCTCTGTGTAAAGTAGACTCTCCCAATCTATTGAAAACCATTCTTTAACCTGTTTAATCTCGTTTCCACATTTCCATTAATTGCATAATTATGACATATTCTGTATCAATGCATGTCAGGTGTTGGATCGCTTCAGGTCCACGAAGCATATGGATATAATAATTACTGAACTAACAATGCAGTATTACACGTCAGTCGACAGTTCAGTGGTACAATAACTATCCCAGGGAAGCCACTCAATCTAGATCTGAGTACCCATGTGTGTGACCGTGCCTCAAAAAAAAGCCCTAAACAAGTTTTGGAATGCAGAGAAAATGCACTCCTTTTCACGTAATATATTTACAATCTTAATACCCATTAAAGTCCCATTCCTGGAAAACCTCATAACACTCTAGCCTCTACCCTTAAATAACAGACAACACACATTATTCCTAGAATATGTATAGGCTAGGCCTATGCCTAAACATATGGTAACAAATAAAGACGCTGTCTGACACACATAGCGACACACACCCAAATGCGTTCTTAATTTCCTCAAATATGATGCCCTATTTACAAATTTGACCATTTTTCAGACCCTAAAAAACCTGTTCAGAGCAAAAACAACCCTTTTTACGTAATTTTGGTCACACACATGCGTCCCCGAGGTCAAGGTGGGTGCCCCCCCACCCCCAGGGTAGCTATGTATTTTTGTGAAGCAGAATAAATAAGTTTATAGCCTTCCAACAGAAGTCAAAGAAACATTCGTGTTCTAGATGCAAAAGAACCCTACAGTTTTCAAGTTCCAGTTATTTGAAATAACCACATTTGGGCGTGTTGGCTCATTTTTATTTCCTGTACACCTTCTAGTTTCCCAAGCATTGTTTTGTGTTTTTATGTGTATTTAAAATTCATAGTTAAAGTCATTAATTTCATCTTTATATTAAACTTATGCCATTTCATTCAAGGCCACTGTTGTTAGTCTGACAGTTCGCCCTTTGTTGCACATACACACAAAATAAATGGTACAATTGTTCAAATTAAGGGCCAAATTTCCTTATTCAGACCATATATTTTAAAATTACCTACATACATTTAACATGTGTCTCTTTAATAGCCGCTCTTGTGTCTTATAGGATGAGTTGAATATGCAACTCCAAGGTGATTCGTTTTATAGATGCATTTCCATAATTGACTACTTAATTCATCTCGATGCAAATGACATTATTAAAGTACTATAAAGTAACAAATAAATTTAGAAAAATGGCAGGCCTATTGTAGCAGCACTGTAGTTTTCAAATATTAATTTTTTAATTCCAAATGTACTATAAAATTTACTGATATAGAAAACACCTTTAAATCTTATAGTGTAGGATATTATTTAATTTAGACCTACTGTACTAGCATTATTCCTGTTGGCCTAAATAGGTATTGATACATTCTGAAAAACAAATATCGAGATAATTTTTGCTAAATTCTATCATTCCATGCACATTCCGTTGCTTGGTTTACTAAAAAACAATCAATATCTATAAATGACGTTGCTTTGGATTGGCGGGGCTAGTCTAAAGCTAATTTCATGGCCCTCCACTCACCTTTCTTAACCTACTTTTCCATCCTTAAAATCCACTCTTTTTATTTAGATTCACTAATGTTATCACCTACCTACCCTTAAAATATCTATCAACTACCTTTAGTTTTCTACAGCTACAACCCTGGTGTTGTTTATATAGTATACATCTTGTGGAGCTTCTTTTTCCATTCTTTGCATCCTTTTCTCAACACTCTTAGTGCGTTTACTGTACATGTACCCCCTTCCTCACTTCCCCCTCCTATCCAAGCTTCTCTGCTGATTTTGCCTAATTAGTCTTACAGTAGTATAGTTTATTATTTTTGGTGTTTCAAAGTAATATTTTAGCTGATGTACAGTACCCTGATTTATCATCTATCGATGAAAAATTTATTCCTGGTTTCATAATGGTCAATTTGACATGTTGTCATGTGATATTTTTACGTGGTAATTTTTATTTTATAAATTTTTATATTGTTACATGTAATACTTTATGGTTAATTTATGGAAAATACATATTAGCAATTAGTGAGTTTTTGCAGTCTGTTTAGTAACTCAGTTTAGCTATCAGTCCCATATTAGCTTTGCAAAATAATGTGTTAATAGTATACAAATATTGACAGCTCATGAGGGGATTCTATTGCCCTGCTTCTTAACCAATCAGATGCCTAGAATCTATAATGTATATATTTCAGTTTTTTTTATGTTCCAGTGAAAATATTATAAGGGATAACAAATTATATTCTGTTATTAATTTATTCATTTTTAACAGGAGAAGGTGAGAAATTCTTTACAGCTGGCCATGATGTAGATCGTGAAGTGGTTCGTGATTTCATGAAAGAAGTCGGGAAACATCCTGATATTGACGAAACCATGATCGCTAAACTTGTTGCTATCGAACGTCAGCAACATCAACATCATAGCCGCGGATGGTATAGAGTCAACGCCTCTCGAAATATGACGGGACGATCAAAGGTCGAGGAACAAGACCCACAAGCGTTGGAGGTAAGTGTTAAGGGCTTGTCGCGTGTTCTGTCACATTTGGTGCCTGTTTTTCCAAATAGAAAGACCAAAAGTAATTTTTAAATGTACCTTTTATGAAGTGATCACTGTAGCGGGATGCTTACTGAATCTTTATACTGTATTAATCCAAACAGCTTTTTTAGTGCGAGCTGTGCGCTTGGTTGGTAAGTAAGGCTTTTGCCTCATGTGATTATGGACCCAGGTAATTCATTATTACCTGCAATTAAACATAGCATGCTTTTCATCAATTACCAATATGTATTTTTTATGAATTGTCTCTTATTCATAATGATACTGTACTTTTGCAAATTATCATTGAATAAATTATGTACTTTTCCGTAAATTAAAAATATGAAATATCATTATTTGTAATGATAGTCACAATAATTCTAAGCATTTTCTGCTTTTATTGTGATGGGATTTTGCATTGTTCTTTCAAAATTTGTTTCAAGATAAGGAGGACACGAACAATGCATTTGTTATGCTCAATTTCAAAAGAAATAAAATGTCATCAGGTTGCCTAAAATACCAAATTAGTACTAAAAATAGAAGTGAACTTGAAAAAAATTGTACATGGTAGCTAGTTGTTAAACAACAATAGTATCCATTTTCATTGATCTAACGTAGTCCATTTGACTTGCAATAAAAAGAATTGTGGCCTTCTGATATAATTGTAGGTAAAATGTGATGGAAATAAATGAATATGCGTAAGTCACTGATTCTATGAAGAACGCAATGCGACAACGCGTGCACAACGGAAGACGGTGTCGCGTAGTCTAGCGCTTACAGTGAGCAGAGTTGGATTTGTAGTGCAACAGTCATACGACGGAGTGACTGCCCGGCTAGTTTATTTAGAGCATCTTGCGTATGTTTATCGTGTGAATGGATTGCCACCTATCAAATAGGACAGAGATAAGGTCACTGTTGCTAATCCTTGGCTATATGCCTAAAGGAGTAAATTAAAATAAATTTAAAGTTTAAGTCAATATTTGCACTGTACAACATCATCAGACATACTACATTTGGCAAGTCATTTACTAATGGTTAGGTGTCAAAGTAAAATAGATTTATTAGATAATTTAAACAATTTTCTTTTTAGCATGTTTTTATCAATAAAATACAAAATATAATGGTTATCAATCAATTAAAACTGTCAGAATATTTTGCATAATTACCAAAATTTATAAAAGAATTATTAACTAACACACAAATAAAGAAAATGCTGGTGTGAATCTATCTCCATTCCGTTGCGTTCCTAGCCTCTACCTACAGTAGATAACATAAACAACAGAATCTCGTCACAGTCGACCGGCTTCTCAAATGTGACCTCCTCCCCTATATTCAGTTCAAATACTATAGGTGTATTTATTAATTTAATGTTTCAGCTGTATCACAAGATAAAGAATAAGGAGTTGCCCGCTTTATCTAAGGAAGATCTGGAATACGGCACGGAGAATGCTGTGGTAGAGTTCTCAGCAACTTCCTACTCCGTTATGGAAAATGCTGGACGAGTGAAAGTAGGAATGGTTCGACGCGGAAACACCAAAAACCAAGTTATGTTCAAGTAAGTTTGTTAATTAGATTGCTGTGTTGGTAATGGTGTTGGTAGTGCTCCTATAATGTTTGAATTAAGTCACATGGTAGATCTGTAGTTCTTCTGAAGGAGACAAAAGCAAAACAGTTATATTACAAAAAAGTTTTATTTGCAGTAATGATATTATTTTGATGTAAGTTTGCATCAGGAAAATATCATAGGAGTGATATTTTGCCCTACCTGACGTGTTATCGTACCAAATACTCAGTACGTCCCCAAATACTTGTGAAAAAAAATTGCAAGTGATTCAGGTGGGAATCGAAACCCACGACCTCCAGAGCTAGCCTGACGCCATAACCACAAGACTACCGAGCTTGCGCTTAGTGACTGTGTTGAATCCGATCCCAAGTAGCAGGGGGTACTGCAAATGCTATTTCGATGTGAGTTTGTGTCAGGAAAGTATCGTTGCCCTTACCTGATGTGTTATCGTACCGAATACTCAGTACTGTACGTCCCCAAATACTTGTGAAAATAATTTTCTGGCTAGGGATATGTGTTGTTCCACAAACGTTTATGGTTTTTTTAAGTTTATGCTGTCATTTAGAGGACCTTGGCAACATCCAAGGAGTGAAAGGGAATCGCAATGTTAGAACCGTTGGCTGGCTACTATTGTAGCTAAAATTTATCATTCTTCATAAAAAAAATACAAGTAGAAAATATAACTGCAAAAATTGTAGTACATCCTTTAAAATTGCACCTAAATATCTTAGTTGTAAAATAGGAAATGTCATATTTTGGCTCAGTATTTTAACAGAATTATAATTTAGATCGACAGTGAATTTCCAATTGGCTGCACTATTTATGAATTTTCACAACTGATACAAAAAAAAACAACTCCCTTTGATTATTCACAAAATGAGGGTTGAATCACTGATGTAATACCAGCATCTGTTTTTGTGATACAAAATATATTTAACTACACATAGAGGTTTGTGATAGAGTTCAGTTACAAAAGAATATATGATTTACAGTCCAATAAATCTTCTTGTTTGAATGCTGGCCACATTTGATTCAGGATTCATGGGAAAATACAATTATTTGTATTTTGTAAAAACAAAACCATAATATGTTGACTTTAAGCATAAGTTAATAAATAAACTTGTATCAAAAACCAGAGGATCCACTGATTAGTCTTAAATAAAACAAAAAGACAGAAACTAAGCTATATCTTGCCACACTCAACTGATGATTACATTTTTATTTGTTTATTGTCACACACACACAATGCTATCCGGAATTTGTGCAAATCAATGTAGTATCGATTGTCTACACTGTATAGTTGTAATATGCTGTTATTTGCACTAATTTAATGCTTACTGTTGACCTTGTAGACATGAATATTCATAGGAAAAAATTTAAATAAACATAAAAGCTAGTGCAAGTAGGAATTTTAATTGTGATGCCTCTTTATAATAAGAAGACTCAGCATTATATATCTCTATGAATTCAATTACATTTTGAGTTGGGTTTAAGGACTGCATTTGATTTAAGAAATTGAGTTTGGGATCAGGGAAAGATTAAGAAGGTGGGGGGAGAGAAGATACGTAAATCATTGGGCTACTCATGTCTCAATTTCATAAGCAGTTTGCCAACATCTGTCTCAAACTCGCAAACAATTCCAGTGTCAGCTGATGGCCTTATTATACCAAATGCTTCCATAGATATAGCAGTATAATCATATGTTTGTGTAGTCAGGTTGCACTGTGTATTATGAATGCTAGTTGAAATTCATAATTGGTAGCTTTTGCAGGTAGGCATGTCAACAGCACTGGTACTACAGTCCTACTGTACTGACGATTTTTTTTAAAACAGTGTCCAAATTAGATTTTTTATTGACTCTTATATGTCAGTTTTTTATATATTCCTCAGTGGCACATTTCAAATATATAAATTTCTTATTTTTAATGTGCTTTGAATTGACTGTAAATACATTAAATCTATTTTTGTACAATTAATGCTTTGGTTTCTTGGAAAAGCACTTAAGAAATCCAAATAAATAAGTAAATAAAGGCATTATATAGATAATCCTGTTTAAAGTAAGGGATGTAAGAGAAATGTAGTACCGATTTTGAATTATCTTTAGTATCTTTGTCTCTGTTTCATTGTCCTTGTTGCCATTAATGATGAATAAGTCATCAATCAGAGTAATATGTCAATAAATGGTGATAGCAGTTGCTATGGAAATAATGATAATTTAACAATAGATTATTATTTAGGCTTGCTACTATTAATACTATTATTATTATTGTCTCCTTGTATTTTACATTATGGTATAGTATGCCATGTCGTGTTGGATTGATCACCCACATTAAATGCGGTTTAAATAAAAATAAATGAATATTTAAAACCTTGATTTTTATATTGAATTTCGTTTTATTATCAAAAATGTTATTAAATTGCTAAAAATAAAAATAATGTCCTTGATGATAAAGATATTTGTTATTACTTTCAATCAAATTTGATTATGATTTTACCTATTTTTATGGATAAATTAGAAGTTTTTATTTTCTTACATTATAAATAGGCCTAAAAAAATGGGCACATACAAACATTTTAATTGGTCTAATTAATGAAATTTTGTTTCTCATTCACCTTTTCTAACTTTCATGAGGCAAAACAATTAAAATATCCTAATGATCTAAATATACTCATAAGTGATGAGTAGGCCTTTTTGTTGGTGTGTATTCCTAGACTAGAAAAACAAAACTGTATAAAAATGTGTTGGCAATTTAATGACTAAATAAGTACAGACATGCACATAAAAAATAAGTTTTCATTTGCATCTATATTAAGAAAAGAAATGCATCTCACTTTTCATAGCCAATCAAGCATATTCCTTTTAAGTTTTTTGAAGCTATTTAGCAGCTGGAAATAAGATCCCTTATACAATTATTGCAGAAATTTATTGAAGTTCTGCTTGGAAATAATCGTCTTACAATCGATAATAGAAGTAGAATTTGAAAGACAAAAAATATCTTTGGGGGAGAAAGAATACGCTAAAATGAGCACATAAGATAAATTCAGTACTCGCATTAAAATTATTATACAGATGACATAAAAGTATTAAACAATCAAATGCAGTAAAATACAAAATACAATAAAGTGTCAAACAATATTTATCAAACAACAGCCATTAAAACACTGCACAGTCAATAAAGCACAGAAATATTAGTTAAAAAAAGGGATAAACTAAGACTTAATATCTAGTTATTTTGCTGCTAGAATATGGTATTATTATTAAGCCACACGTGTTGTTAATGGTCTGGAACAACTGTATCTTATAGTTGCATAACACATTGTATGACCTGGAGGAGTTGGTAACAGCCTTTCGATTATAGAGAATTTTGGAGAAGTGCATTTGAGGCTTGCCACCTCAAAATCCGCATACCGTCGCTATTAAAATGAATAATTAGCATATAATGTTTCAGTATTGTATACTTTTGTACAGCAAAGCCGTAATACTTTTGATCAAAACTATGGTAATAGTAAATTGATTCCATTAAATGACTTATCATATTAAAGCTTATATAATATGGAGAATAATAATAATAATAATAATAATACAGTAGATGGATTTATATAGCGTAAATAAACAAGGTCTCTATGCGCTCAGGACTAGATGTTGCAATTTTCAATAACTTTCTCCTCCCCTGAGGGTCACTTCACGTCCTCTGCAGCCAGTAAACCGGCGCACTTTCATCTGTCCACAAAAGGGCCAAGTGAACCAGTACTCTGGGGTAACCCCCTGCTCATCTCGAAAGAATATTAAAATGTCAATTTTTGGGGGGTTTTTTTCACTGATGCTGATTTTAGCAGTGCAAGCCCCATACCGTAAAACCTCGAATTGAAGCCCAGTGGGCTTTTTCTCGAGATGAAGCCCATCCCAAATTGAAGCCCTCCCCTTTTTTAGTTTGCAAAATTAGCTTTGAAAAGAAGCCCATCTCAAAAAGAAGCCCATGGGCTTCTTTTCAAGATAGCATAGGCTTCTTTTCGAGATATTACAGTCACATACACTGTACATCAATTTCAGAAAACAAAATAAATTATTTATACAGTTGTAATGGTTTATACAGTAGTTTAGGTGATTTAATGCCATTTAAGTACACTCCATGCCATACAGATTGGTGTTACGGTGGCCTTATTTATTGTTTTATAGTACAAATTCACAAAATTTACAGCATTCATTTGAAAAGAAGCCCCCCCCCCCACCTCTTTACTTTGCAAAAGTAGTCTTGAAAAAAGAAGCCCATCTTAAAAAGAAGCCCATCTCGAAAGGAAGCCCATCCTAAGTTTTCAAAGAAAAAAGAAGCCCAGGCTTCAATTTGAGGTTTTACGGTATATGGAATGCCTGTTTTGTTTCTTGAAACCTACTAATGCTGTATAGTATCTTTGCTTGTGCCTTTATGAATCATACTTTTCTCATCCTTAATATGTGACACTTAAATGTGGGTCCTTTTAAGTTACATGATGGTTCTGTGTAATGGTTCAGTATAAAGTATTTTACAAAATGCCAGGGATTATCAAATACATCACTAACCTTATAGGGTGTGGTCTCGAACTTCAAACACACTGCCAGCCAGTCTTGTTGAATATTTAACCAGAGTGAATTGATTCAACAGAGCATATTTACCTTTGATGATCACCTTGTGATCTTGATTTAGGAGCAGAAACAAAAAAAATTCTCGGTATTAATTTTGTCAACAGAATTACAACCAAGATGATGGAGAGCACCATCAGCATTGGTTGCGATACAGGTTCTTGAGGTTGGGGGTCAAATCCCATGTTGTTCAACTTCTACCCTTTAGGCAAGGCACTTAATGCTTAATTCCTTCGACCTAGGAGAATAAATGAGTACCTTTTAGATGAGATGCTGTCAATGATATGAAATATTGGTCTGGTGTTCAATTAACTGCGTGAACTATTTGTCAGAGACCTGCTACACTGATGCATACTGTAGCTGTTTTTAAATT